CCCAGAAGGCCAGGGGCTTTAGGGTTTAGGGTTTAGGGTTCAGGGTTTAGGGTTCAGGGTTTAGGGTTTAGGGTTTAGGGTTTAGGGTTTAGGGTTTAGGGTTCAGGGTTTAGGGTTCAGGGTTTAGGGTTTAGGTATCGGCCAGGGAGTCCCTTGCACGTTGCTTAGTAGACACTAGGGTTAGGATGATGAGAGTTGGGTCTAGGGGTCTAGGGGTCGAAGGGTTTAGGGTTTGGGGTTTNNTTTAGCGTTTAGGGTTTAGGGATCCCCTATCCTTAATAAGTGTAGGATTGGGGGGGCGGCGGGGGCGGGGTAGGTCGATTCCTGCGTTTCTACATTCTGGACTTCTGGCTTCGTTTGCGAGGGGGTCGTAAGTGCAGGTAGGGTTTTGGGAGGTATGCCAAAGGGTCGGGGCATGTACAGGCGACATTGAGCATGACGTGTTTGTTGTAGTTAGTTTGTGTTTTGCGCATGTGACGGTCCGAAGCGCGAAACTTTCAAAACACCGCGTGCGGAGGTGCGATTTCGTCCAGGGCACTTTGTCCTTGTGTGGAAGTTTATGATTATGATTGGCCGGGATCAGCCACAAATCATGCTTCCATGTTTTAGCATTAAAGAAGCTGACCTGCGCACCATGGGTGATGCTATGAACTTCTGGCGCATGGTGCGGACCGGGACAAGAAAATCCGGACCCAAGATAGGGGAATGAATTTGCTCCGAAATGTCGATATCCACTCGACTGTTCTAGATCTGAACCCTTGGCTTCCCTGGAAAAGCATGGACAAGTGCAGGAAATGCAACTTCACCTTCTGCAAGGGCCTTCCAGAGCGGGCTTCTGAACACCTCCACCCCAGAAATCTGCGGTTTCCCAGCTCTCGTTAGCTGAAGTGAATCTGAACCTTTGGATTTCCTGGAACAGCCATGCGGAGCATCGAAAAGTGCAGGAAATGCAGCCTCACCCAGTGAACAGGCCCCAGAAGCCGGCACGTTTACCCCCGAACATTTTGCCAGCTCTCGTTATCTAATGTGCCGCGGAATGGTCGGTATCCACTCGATATGTCGAAGTTGTGCAGCCATCCGGCAATGCCAAGGAATTCGGCCAGTGTGTACTTCAGCGGCTACTCTCAATGTTGCCGACCGACGGTGGCAAAAAAGCAGTGGGCAACTTTTACAAAGTCCGTAAACTACCTAGCGCAGCCTATGCTGACGACGTAGATGCAAAAACATCCAGATTCTTTCAGCAGCGGCCCGGAAGCCAGATTGTTTCAACAGTTCGGGGACGCCCGAAAAACAAGCAATCAGGTCCGCTTAGTGCGTGCAGTTGCCCACCATGTCACATCGCTTGCGCATGCCCTTATAATTCTAAAGTATCCTGACATCTTGACCCTATATGCTGTTCAAAAACGTAATGCAGTCTCCTGCATTTGCTGACGGGCATAACCTGGGGGGGACCTCAGAAACTGCAGATTGCACTTATGGATCCCCCCTTGCCCTCTAGCAGATGGGGGATGTTTAGGGGTTAGGGGTTAGGGGGTGTGGGTTTGTTTAGGGCGTAGGGTTTAGGGCTTAGGGGGTTCTATGAGGGTTCTAACAACATGCGGCTTCAGGGTTTCAGGGGGTAAAGCTTCAAGTCTTGAAGTTTCGGGTTTACGGTTTTGGAGTGAAGGCTTGAAAGTTTGGCGCCACAGGCTTGAACTGCGGTGTTGCATTTCCTAATCCCTATACCCTAAACCCCTAAACCCCTAAACCCTAAAGCCTAAACCCTGAGTTTGGGGGGTGTTTTTGCTTGAGGCTCTATATCGCACTGAAGCCCCAAGGCCAGGTTTTGAGGTCGAGGGCCCCCCCAATTTTTAGGTAGTCTTAGGGAGGCCCCGTAAAGGGGACCCTGCTTAACCCTACTTATGCCTCTCTTGAAAGGGAGCTTATTGAGTCATTATTGAGAGGGTCTATATCCTCGAGGGTCCCCCAAATCCTGACTCCTAGTAAAACTCAGAGAGATCGTGTCCTACTTGTAGCAGCCAAAACTAGGCATCAAGGAAGCGGAGCATGGCTAGGCGTCTGCAGAATCGATGATCCCAGTTGTTGAAGCCCTCGGAATCATAATTCGAAGAGTAGTATAGGAGCCTCAAGAAGAACCAATACGACTCCTCCGGGTCCCTTCTTGTTTTCACAGTACTCAAGGAGCCCAAGACCCTATTCTAGTGATAAAGGCCCCTACATTCTAGAGCCCTGTTATAGACCCCTTATAGAACCCTTTAAAGAGCCTTTACAAAAAAGCCCCTACATTAAGGCCAGAGCCCAAGCCCCTCTTCTCGTGTTTAAGGCCCCTACAGTCTAGAACCTTGTTCTTATATTCATAGACCCTAAACCCTAAACCCTAAACCCTAAACCCTAAACCCTAAACCCTAAACTCAAGGAGCCCAAGACCCTATTCTAATCATTAAGGCCCCTACATTCTGGCCACAGGATCCTTCGGCGGCGCTGCCGAACGAGATGCGAGCGATTCCGCGGAAGAACAGGTGGGGGGTTGGGGTTTAGGGTTTAGGGTTTAGGGTTTCGGGTTTAGGGTTTAGGGATTTGGGGCGCAAGCCCTGAGAGGAATCAACTTGGTCGTAGGATTGCGAAAATTATCAAAGCAAGGCTCCACAGGAGCAGCAACCGCAGGAATAAAGCGAACTTAAACCGAACTTAGAGGTCGGAATGAATGCTGATAGTATCCCCGTAAAGCTCCCTTGTAACTATAGGGACTACAACATACCCCAAAACGGTATTCTAAATATTACGCCCCGCCAATGCATTACACCGTTACACCCTAAACCCTTGCAGAGGCACTGATCGATCGGCTGTACAGTAGTTCTGTAGAGATCAAGCCAGTTCTGCGTGGATCCGGCAAGGGATGCTTGTGAGGACTTCGAGGTGGTTGAGAGTTTAGGGTCCGGGGCTTCGATCGTAGCTGGCATTTTCACAGAAGTTTAAGGTTAAGGGCTTAGGGGTTTTGTAGATCAAGACTTACAGGCTTAAAGAGTTTGTGAGTTCAATGAAACCCTTAAGCCCTAAACCTTAACCAGGCCGAAAAGGAAGGACCCCAGCAGCCGATCACTTCCATCGCCCTAAACCCTAAACCCTAAACCCTAAACCCTAATCCCCCCGGGGTGAATTTTTAAATCCTAAGCCGAAGTTGTCAGGAGCCCACTGGGCAATGCCCCCCGCACCTCCGAGTTGGAGGCTGCGGCTGCCGCTCCGCCGGGGCGTCTCAGAGGGCGGGTTTGTAGGGAGGGGGATTTAGGCAACTTAGGCTTGGGGTTTAGGGTTTAGGGTTTAGGGTTTCGGGTTTAGGCTTCGAGTTTTGGGTTTCGGGTGTATGGTGAGGGAGGGATTTAGCCTTAGGGTTCAGGGTGTCGGATTTGGGGTTTCGGGTTGATGTGAGGGAGAGGCGGGGATTAGGAGAAGTGTGGTTCATGATTTGCAGGTAAGGGGTTATGTAGGGGCCTTAATAATTAGAATAGGGTTTTGGGGTTTCCTTATTAGGATTATTGTATAATGTACCCCCAAACCTTATTCTGATTCCCTATACTAGGGTCGAGCGTTTTTATGTGATGCTTCGGGGCGTGAGGGCCTAGAGTTTTAGCCTAGGGTGAGGACAGGAGTTGCGAAAATTGTGGCCTGGGGCTTGTGTCTAAAGTTGTAGATGTTACCATGCCCTAAACCCTAAACCCTAAACCCTAAACCCTAACAAGTCAGAAAGTGTAAAGGTTATGTGCCCCTTTTAAGGGCTGCCGAAGCTTCGGGGTTTCGGGATGGAGGTGCAACTCTGACGTCCACAATTGCAGGCGTCTATACTTGGAGGTTCCTGGGTAGTTATATCTGGGGGTTTACTATAAGGGTTTAGGGTTTAGGGTTTAGGTTTTAGGGTTTAGGGTTTAGGGTTCATGGGTAGGTATAAATGGGGTTAGAAGTAGGGTAACTGTGCTTATAACCCATATCAGGGGACGTATAACCACCGCTTATAACTACCCATGAACCTCCAAGTAGGGTTCAGGTCGTGAAATTTTAGGTAGAGACTATAAGGTCGAGGCTCGGGAAGGGGGTGCAACAGCTAAAGACGGTTTAGGGTTTAGGGGTTTAGGGTCTAGGGTTTAGGGTTTAGGGTTTAGGGTCAGCTAAAGCAACGCGTGTCCGGCTTCCGAAACTTCACTGAGCTTTCACAGTCTGCCTTTGGGGATTAGCGTTCCGGGCTTTATCAGTGATGATCTAGAACCTAAACCACAAGACCTAACCTGAAGCCCTAAATCCCGAAGCACAGTCTTGAACGCGATGGAAAAAGCTTAATCCCTACGATTTAAAAGGCCGGTTACAGCAAAATCCTAAACCCAAAAGGCCTTAGACAGCACCCCCGAGCCAAAACCCTCAACCCATATCATGCAAAACCCCAAACCTAGCCAACCTAAACCCTAAACCCCGCCCCCCTAAGCCACGACCCTCAACCCACAACGCAAAACCCCAAAACTCAACCAACCCTAAACCCTAAACCCTAAACCCTAAACCCCAAGCCCTAAACCTAATAGGCTTTAAAAGGCTTTTAAAGAGCACCGAGGCAGCCCACTGAGCCTCCAGATACTCGCGGACCGCGATCTTCGCGGTCCTTTCATGCGGGGATCGGCCTCTGAGGTCTGGGTCTGGGGCTGTGAAGGGTTTAGGGTTTAGGGTTTAGGGTTTAAGGTTTAGGGTTTAGGGTTTAGGGCAATGATGGACTTATTTTTTCTGCTTCTTCCCGAGGGAATTATGAAGGGTTTAGGGTTTAGGGTTTTATGAAGGGTTTAGGGTTTAGGGGTTTATGAAGGGTTTAGGGTTTCGGGGTTTGTGGAGGGTTTGCAATCAAGGGCAGGAGATGAGCCCCTGAATAGTTAGGAGCCGTCTCCTCGAGGTTCCGGGGCCTCGGGCCGTCTAGGGCTTAAGATCGTTTTGGGGGTTAGGACTATGAGGTTTCGGATGTTGCTCGGCTTAAGGTTTAGGGGGTTAGGGTTGAGGGGCTTAGGGGCTTAGGGGCTTAGGGGTTTAGGGGCTTAGGGATTAGGGGTCAGGGGTTAAGGCTAAACGGTTTAGGGGGTTAGGGGGTTAGGGCTCATGGCGGCCACGTGAAGGTTTGGGTTTAGCACGGCTCAGGGTTCTTAGGACTTGGGATTTAGGGTCCGTGGCGCTCTTCGAGTTATCCATTAACAAATAGCCTTAAAGTCCTAAACCTTATAAGGGTTTAGGGGTTAGGGTTTAGGGTTTTGGCGACAATCTCTGAAACCCCCAAACCCTAAACCCCTAAACCCCTAAACCCCTAAACCCTAAACCCTAAACCCTAATCACAATGTCGCAGCCGAAGACTACTGACCCGGCTCCGGCTTAAATCCGAATAATAGCTTACCTATAGTCTCCATTGTAGTTCCTTTTGTTGGTTAACCAATTTTATGGTTAGGATCCTATAATATAAATTTGGGTACCCAAAAAAAGGAACTATAATGGAGACTAAAGGTAGTTCTCCAATACCCAACCTTTAAACTGTTTGGGTTCTTACGACTCAGTAGTAACAGTAGTCTGAAGGTGTAACCTTTTATTTCCCGGGCTTATTGGGAAGAAAGGTAGAGATTTGTCTGTACGCTGCTGGTTAGGGTTTAGGTCTGCAGGACCTAGAGTTCAGACTTTCTGCTTTGGGATGCGGAATTTATAGCATTTTGGCTCCTGAACCGAAAAGACGGCCCCCCCCCCCCAGCTCTAATTTGGGGCCTAAACCCCTAAACCCTAAACCCTAAACCCCTAAACCCCTAAACCCGAAGGCAGCCCTGTGGCCCAAGCCGACTTGCGCGTAGGTGTTGTTCGTGTAGGGCTATGCGCTTTCGCCCAGAAGGGCTGGTGCGCATCGATTGCGGAGGGGGCGCAAGCTTTAGGCTTTTTAGGGTTTAGGCTTCAAAGAGCGGGGCGAACCTCAAGTTCCACCTTCTGTGTGAAAGGTTTTGGGCATAAAGATGGTCATTTGCGATGCTTGTTCTTTCGACAATACTTCAGAGCTGTGCCTATCATTATCGAGAGCAGTCTGAGTATCTTCGTCAAGGTTTATAATCACGTTAGTGCTCACTCTTGCTGCTGCTCCTCCAACCACCACCACCACCAACAACAACAACAACAACACCCCACCACGACTGCTACTACTACTACTACGACTACGACTACTACTAAGAATAACCAGTACTCATGATGACGACACCATTTCTGCTGCTACTACTGTTGCTTCCTCGGTGCCGATGATGGACCCCTTGTTCGGCCCAGTTGGACTGCGCTCCCTCTTCGTACAGTAGCATGTTTAAGCGGCTTCTCAAGAGATCAGGTGCTGCAGCTGTATTATATAGCTACACTAGCTGTTTTATGTACATGTATGTATTGTTTGATAGGCGATATTATATAATATAGCTTCAAATGTATGGGCTTTCGTATATTATATTATACTATACTATATTATATTAGAACTATACTATATTATACAGCCTATATAATGGCCCTGGAGAGGCTTGGGGCTCGGGAAGCTTGCAGACTGGTTGTTTCGGATCTAGGGGCTTCTCTACGGGGGTTTACGGTTTAGGATTTAGGGATCAGGGTTTAGGGTTCCGGGTGTATTCTGAACGGCCACGACTCCGAAACCACACTGATGACAGTCACTTTCTTGAGAAGGGCCCAGCTCAAATTTTCAAACCGTCAACAAGGCCGGTACCAAGCCAGCCAAGCCAATTTCAGTTCTTAGGATTAAGTAAGTCAGCCCACCTGCGATGGCCCAGCATGCAAGCCAGAAGTCTCCGCTTCATGTCTCGCCCCCGCTCCAGCGTCTCCCGTGCACTGCCGCAGCCGAGGCTGCGTTGCCGACATCCCCTCACAACCGCTCTCGAAGTCCACTCCGTCGATCTTTGCTCTCTTTCACGAGAATGCACAAAAGATCGACATCCCTCTGCAGCAGATACGTCCTGCACGGTTCATCAAGCAAACAGTTCCGCGGGCTCAGGTTCGCAGTACCAGACAGCGCGTCCTGCATGCGCCTCTTCTGCTTCCACGCAGCGCTTTTGCACAAAGCTGTTGGATTGGGTCTTTGACCTCCGTCCTTCGGCGTCGGCTGCCATGTGTCCGGATTGGTCTTGCTTCAGCGATGAGCTGCATCCGGACCAGAACCGCGAACGGGCTCCGGAGACGTGGGATCTTCTGCGCTGGAACTGTGGGCAATTGCATGAAGGAGGCGTGGCAGCAGAAGCAGAGGTCCTCGCAGGAAATACGTCTTCGCCGCGGGCTGCCAATGGGCCAGGCAGTCACAACCAACCGCCTCCGCCTCCGTGCCCAGACCCTGCTTTGTTTGCTGTCCGCGTGTGGCAGATTCAAAACTTGTCCCTTGTATCAGTGTCATATGCAGCGGCCCGCGCAGATGCTGTGAAGCACTGGGCCGACCTGCCCCTTGCCATTGCGCATGCGTGTGAACTTTCGCAGGCCGCCCACCTGCCTAATTCTGCAACCGCAGCTAGCAGCCGATCCCGCGGCGTATATTGCAGTTCGTCGCCTGCAGGTGCTCCGGCCATGACTGGCGACATGCTGGGAGGGACTCCGAGGCTGAGGCCGGAACAGGAGGACTTTCAGTCCCAGCAGCTGTGTCTGCAGCTGTACTGTACCACATGGGCATTCCCAAGAACCTTGCGCAGAAAGCAGCACGTCAACGTCCAACAGACATCAACGTAGCCTTGGACTGGGCCTGCTCTTCGGAGCGTCGTCACAGCCGCTCAAGCTGTGGAAGGGAAGCGATCCTCATAGACCTCGCAGACTCGCCTCTTGCAGTAAGTCATCTGCCCGCTGTGGCTGCGCTCCCTCGGCCTGCTGCACTTGCGTTGTCTATACCCCGCTCTTGGGCTGCTTCAAGTCCCTGCTCTTGGCCTGCGTCAAGTCGCCGGCATGCAGAGCGTGCCGCCAGTCCCTCTCCAGATGCCTGTGCGCACTCTCCACCATTTCCTGGAGGCCGCAACGAACGTACCAATGGGGTACCGGAGCCATCATCCCCGCTTGCAACCATTCCCGTCCCGGCAGATGTTCAATCGCCCGAAGTGCTCCAGTCTCGCACTCCATCGAATTGATCCCCAGTCACCCCCATAATAATTCAGGGCAAGTGAACCGCTTTCATGTGCCGCCTCAGGCACGAAGCAGAGTCGACGCGGCAATGCCCAATGGTTCTACGAGACGTATCTTCAAGACCCTGTTTCTATGCCGATGCAGCTGCAGAAGTCCAACACTATTTCCGTGTTCTTGCCAATAGCAACGGCGCGGCGCTGCAGGCAGACGAGTTCTGGTCGCAACTCCCCATGTACTCGCAATACACGGGAGCACACTCTTACGGAGGTCATTGCCGATTCCCTCCGCAGCATTGAGGCAATGCGCCGGCTGGATCTCAGCATCGAAGATGCAGCCCGCTTGCCAACTTGTCTTGGCTTCACCACGACCCTCCCCCTGGCCGTGATGTGCGAGTACTTGCACCGGGGCTGCGGGTTGCCATGCCTCTATGTGTTCGACCTGTTTCAAGCATGTTTGGCATCCTGTCAGCACAAAGACTTGGCCATCGCTTTGTATGAAGTTTGCTTGCACGGCTCGCTGGTGGGCTGCCCCAGTCGGCGATCCCAACGCCAGCAAGTCTCCAGCCTATTCTCTCGTTTCGAATGCCTTCGAGGAACTCATTCACTCTAACCAGCACCTCTTCTATTCGGTGGACCACTTCATCGGTGTAGGCAACAATGGCAAAATCCAGGAGCGACTGCGGAAGAATGCTGGCGTATTGCTTTTGTGGGGACCCGAAGCAAAGCCAATCCTATACCCACAGTGTCCGACCCCGCCAGCCAGCCCAGCCCAGCCCAGCCTAGTCCAGCGGCCCACAGCCCAGTTCAGCCCTCCTCAGTGCAAGTCCTTGTCCCCAGCTCCACCAGCCATCCCCAGATTCGAAATCAGGTTCCAAAACGAAAACCTGCTCAACACTTTCGGTCAAGACTTATATTGGCACCTAAGCCCTTAACAATTTCTATAAACCCTAAACCCTAACCCTAAGCCCAAAACCCTAAACCCTAAACCCTGAACCGCTTCCCATGACTCTTGAGCAGCACTCCCAGAGACCTCGTGATGAGGAGCCCCGTTTTTGCCGCAAGAGCCACTGGCTAAGCTAATATAAGGGCCTTAGTAATTCTGTCCCTGATATGGCTCCTTAAGGGCTACTATACGCTAGGGTTTTAGGGGTCTTGCGGTTCAGAGTTTCGAGTTTTGCGTTTTGGGTTCATGGTTTAGGGTTTAGGATTTGGGGGTTTGGGGTTTTAAGGTTTCGGGCTCAGGGTTTAGGCTAATTAGGGTTATAGTGTTTAGTATTCGGCGTTGAACGGGGATGAACACGCGACTGCATTGTTAGAAAGCCAATGTCTCGCACCGAATCGTTTCCGCTACGTACATCTCACAGTCAGCAGAGGTTAGGATATTCATCATGGCCTATGCGACTAGTCGTGGGCTCGCGATGACTGCATGGCAGTTTTTGATAGATGCTGCTTGGCCATCATGCAAAGCTCCTACTGAAAGTACACCAGGGGGAGACTCTAGGGTCTGGGAACCCAGCGCAGTCTTACTT